CTTTAATTTTGTAATCGTTAGTCGTAGTCAGATACTTCCAATTACAGAAATGTTTTAAAGGACGAATATATCATGTTTGGACAATGTCAAATTTAAAAAAGAAAATATTTGACAAATAACGAAATCTAACTTCAAATGTGGTTTCTCGGTTCTTATATTTTATATTTGGAAAAGTTTTAATACTTGTTATGAAAGGATAAGAATTCAATAAATTTGACTTCCATAGGGCTAAAATAGTCAAGATATTTAATTTCAAAATTCGTAATTTTTGACGTCATTTACAACTTGCCTTCAGGGATCGTTTAATTAAATTGGACTAATTCGACGAAATAAGTTTAAATGAACCGCAGCGAAGAATGTGTATAATTTAATAGCCCATGCAATGAAGTCACCTAGTGTCTACGTAATACTTCTTTTAAGTTGTATTTTACTTTTAAGTTGATACCTTCGGAATCAGGAACAGTAGAGGCCTCTTTGGCAAGGGAGTCGGCGTCTTCTTTTCCTTCGTTCTCTGCATGTGCTTTCACCCAAAGGCACCTTCATGCGTGTTGGACAGTATTATCGACGCAGAAAACACTCACAACTGTACCCCGGCTAAAGTACCAGCACCTTTCTGCCTAAACCTATACTGTAGAGAATAGTCTTGGCACCGCGCAATACGGAACCATTACGCAGGGGCAGACAAGGAAATTGAATTTCAAATAAAACGAACTTTAAAAAAAATGGGGATAAACAAAAAGAAACAGTGTGCAGCTTGAGGTATCTAAAGTCAACCACAAATAGTGGGTACTTCATTTCGTTGCATGCTCAGGCACTACTCATCATAAACACTTATTTTAGATGCTATTTGTGCATGCGTTTCAATCCGCAGAAAAAAAATTCTCGGCTACTAAACTCTTCCTGTAGAAGGCAGACTTCAGCATCAAGCTTTATTGCGCAATAAAGGAGCCCACTAAAACTGAATACTGAGAAGAACAACATAAAAGAAATGCCGCTGTATAAAAGCCCTGTATAAGAAAGTCGCATGGGAATTTTACACTTATATATAAAAAAAAAAAAAAAAAAGAAGAATCATGAAAAAAGAGCAATTTATAAAATCACTATAAAAACGTGTTTCCGGAGGCCTAAGTAGGCTTGGTGGGTAATGGAGCATTAAAAGGTAGGTCCGCTATAAAGCGCATTCAGCTGCAGTTAGCGACATTATGACCCAAGGCAAATGTCTCCCCCGTGGTTTCGAGAAGTGTGAAGTTTCCACTTTTTGTTCTGCAAGGGAGGTCTAGTTTTCGTTGAATTGTTTTATTTATGGCAGGAATCCGGTTCTAAAATGATAAGACAAAGAAGAAGTAATATAAAAGTTCAAATATTCATCCTATTCTCACGGATAAGTTTAGAATAAAAATTTTGAGCTGGTACCTATAAAGATCAATCATGTAATGTCATTTTTTCGTTTTTATAGGTTGTGGCTATCGAAAATAATCTCTGGAAACCCTTGAGAATGCTGCTTCCGATGGATGCAATTTATAATAAATTTAGCTATATATTTTTATAAACTTGCATATATATTTGTATACATATATATATATATATATATATATATAGTGGGTCATAAAAAACTTCCGTTCCGTAAGCCTAGTGGCCTATCCGCTCAACCAATCGAAATGAAATTTCAAATATTGTTACTTGAAGGTTTGCGCCCTAGATGATGCGATGATTTAAAACAGTAGATCTGTGGCAGTTATGCTTACAGTGAAAAAATTTCAAAATTTTCGAATGGTAGCATATACTTTTTTCCTGCACAAACTGATCATGAAACTGGCGGAAGGGAACCATAGATGGCGTTACAATGATACACATAGGACGAAAACTGAGGGTGTAAAACATTTGCAAAGAAGAGCATTGTAAAGGACCTATGACAGCACAAAAGATGAGATGGGGAAAAAGTTTCTTTTTTTCAGTCCAAAGGGGCTTTGTCCCTGAAGGACTATTTGTTTTCGTTTCGTATTTTTGACTATCAACGGGGTATTATTTTTCAAATCGTTGCCACCAATTACTATCGCCCTGTATTATATTTGAAGAAATTAAATAATGCATAAATGTATGTGTATGTTTCTCGCATTGTGATAAAACAACGGTACCTAGATCCATCAAAATTTAAAGGACGTAATCCTACTGCGAATATGAGCATCTGAAAGCCGAAATTTGAAATTTGGAATTTGTTTTATTATCGATTTCCTTTTTGTAAAACTTTAACGAATTTTTGATTAACAAGCTCAACGATTTAAAAGCGAGCAATGGCAGCACTCTAAAACGGGAGAGGGAAACCTTTTTATCTTCAGCGTTCAGAACTGTGTATCGGAAATTCTAAAGATGTGCTCATTTAAATATTATTTTACGACATTGCTGTTGAACTGAAATTTATAGTTTAAGTGCAAAGAACATGATATTTAATATCTAAAGTTAGCACGCAAAACGTTAAAAAAACGCCCCTTTGGACGTAATTTAAAATTTGAAACCATTCAGTTTTCTTTTCTTTTTTTTTTTTTTTTTTTTTAATTTTATTACAAGGTTTCAACATACCCACCTTCATAGGCGATAACGCATTACATATGGGAAATTGTTGACACCAAAGACGAACGTAACATAACAGAAGGAATCTGTATAGCTTCACGTTTTGTATATTTTTCATTCCGACAAGTCTGGTAAACTTGATGTGTACAGCTTTGATTTCAGATAACTCCAGAACCAGAAATCCATCGGAGTGTGGTCGGGGAATCCCGCTGACCAACAGATTGCAAGATTAGGGAATTAACTCTTTCTTGAAACATTGTACATGTTGTTGAAAACTTGTAATTCCAATAAAAGTTCCCATCCCCTGCTCTGTTGTGTTGTCGATAGTCTTGTCCAATGCTCTTCTTTGCAAATGTTTTACGCCGGCAATTTTTGTGATTTTACATGTGTAACTTCAATGCCATTTATAGTTTTTTCAGTTTGCTGATCAATTTACGTAGGAAAAAAATGAATATTGCCTTTCGAAATTTTTTCACTGTAATCCTTGAGAGCAGTTCTATTGTTTTAAATCATCACAATCTAGAGCGCATATTTTCAAATAACACTATCTGAAGGTCCTGCAAAAAAATTAGGGCATATTTGTTTTGCATTACATTGGGCTGATGTATAAGTTCATGCTGTTTTCTGGCTAGTATATACTTAACTGTTTCCAACCCCACAATGCATAATGAATGTATTTTCTTCCATAATTCATAATTTGTTCCCAATATTCGGGCAATTTTTGGACATCATTTCTGTAAAAACTCAGTGATTCGGATTCCTAAACTCATCTCGAAAAATTTGCTGGTGATTATTGTTTTTGAAGAAGATGCCAAGGAATGCATTCGTCAGTGAACTGAAAAGGTGTCCCTCGTAGGAACACATCTAGGGAAAATGCCGAGTGTGGAAGAACCTTCCAGTTAAGCTGCTGGATGGCAAATTTTGACATATTTGCTGCCTGTGATCTGACGTTTTGAAGTTCTTCATGAGCATGTGGAGAAGTTCACGATACGTGTGTGATTTGTATGAAGACCGATCAAGTTGTCCGAATGTTCCTCAAGTGGGGATGAGTAGCTAGAATGTGGTGCATATTTTCAATTCAAAACGTCAGTCGCAAAAATCTCTCCATTTTTCATGCTACGCGCTCAGTAATAGTCTGCTTTCCATACATATCACAAATTTGTATGGAAAGCCTGTATAGGGCTAGAACTTATATTGAACTCATACAAAAAAACATATCGGAGGTGCTGCTTCTTTTCAACTTCTAATCTCAAACTTCAGATCTTGAAGAAAAAACTTTAAAAAAAAATTAATTTAATTTTAAAAAAAAAGGTTAGCGAAGGAAACATTCATATTGATGTGGATGTGCAGGGTCAGATGGGGCTGTCAAGATCATTCACCTTTCTGCAAATGTTCGCCAAGCTTAAGACCTTAACATACGTGTCCCGACAGCCTTGATGGAGTTTGCTTACAAGATGGTGCTAATATCTTTGAGCAAGTTGGCAAGCCGTTCGCCAGAATTAAGACATGGGTATTCCAGCAGCCTTGATGAGGTTTGCTTTCCTTATGATATTGAACTTCATAATAGTGCTGCTGCCACCTTTCAAGCTTTAAAGGGCCTTGGAGAACTAGGGATAGCTTGAAAAAAGTGCCGCACCTTTTTTCAAGTTGACCGCTCTTTTTTTTTTTTTTTTTTTTTAGGTTAGACCTAGTTCATCTGCCCCTGTGGATTAGCACTTTCACATGTAAACAATGTATCTGCATTCATTATAACATTTGTTCCTGTAATTTATACGAACTGCGCAAATTCTATAATACTCAAATTATCTTTGCAATAGCATCTGCGCATTATGTATATATTCATTGTACTTAAATCTTTAATGCACTGTCTTCTGTTTTGTATTCTGTTAATACCTTTGTATACGTATTCCGCTCTGTATATCACATTTTTAGTGTTGTGTACTATTTCTAAAGTGCATCATGTTTCTATTATCAATTATTCAGTCTCTTGTATTTTATCAATGATTCCGGTCTCATGTATTTGTATCAATGATTGCATGTATTTTGTCCTGTTATTTATCAAGTATCATGCTTTTACTAAGCTTTTGTTCACTGTTGTACACCCTGTAGTAAATATAGAATCTCTAGATACCTCAGTATTCCCAATATACAACATTATCACTCATTGGCAATATGCTTAAGTTTATGTATTGAGTGAAGAGTATTGGTATCTAATTACGCCTTATATTTATGTGATTAATGTGTTGTTTTCGCTGTTTTTTTTGTTTTTTTTTTAAATTTTTTTATTTAAGACCCTTTTTCTTTATGTCTTGCACTTGACTATTTATGACATGCTAATGTATCCTGAACTGCAATGTACAACAATCACTCATTGCTCTTGTTGCACTGTAAATACTTTTATTAATTTAAATAAAGTTGCTGCTTCTACACAGGGGAAGGCGTGGGACATGCCTGTTTACCACTGTTAAACACCAAGTGTCCCCGTTTTCCGTCACCTGTCACCTGCCCCTGTGGATGCGGAATATAACTGGTATATTAAACTCCGTTACATTATTAATGACATTTGGAAAAAGCATTCTGAAAAAGAAACGACACAAACTTATGCATCAGTCTAATATGTTTTCAGATTAAAAATTTTAAGATTCCAGTTGGTCATGCTTTATGAATTTCTTTGGTATGGTTGGTCTCGAAATTCCGGGAACATTTGATTTGATGGAAGTGGAATTTAGCTAATTCGGGGGTCTTCACGAACTTTTATTAGTGCACGAGACAGAAACAGGGAGTTTCCCGATATTTCTCTCTCTGCCTCTATCACACTGTGACTTTCATAATCATGTTCTTATTGTTATTAATTTAGAAGTCAAACAACAAAACAGTCTTTCTTATTGTTAGTTAGACTTAATTATTTAATGATGATGATAGACAAATAGCTTTATTGAAGTTCTTTACCTTGTTTAATGTCATTGCATTGTTCATAAAATTTATTTCCTTTTGTAGGAAAATTAAGCGTGAATAGTCAAGATGGCGACATGGCTATCTGTTTCTGACCGTGCTCGAGTATCAACTAGAATGGCTGCGTAACAGTCACCAATAATGGTGTAATAATGATGGAATCGTGGGAATAAGTTATTAAGGATTATTTTAATTTTATTAACAGTTAAATTTTGAGTTAAACTTCCTTTCTTATCGCTTCCTAATTTCAACTTACCACTTCCGACCAGAACGTAGTTTTAGAATCACGTCTGAATGCTCATGAGGAAGAGCGGTATTTAAGTTCTACTGTCTTAGTGAGAGAGTTACCGGATATTCTGGCTGCATGCATCCGCCTTTTTAGGCTACTCTCTCGTAAGCTATTATTACGCTCGCCCTTACTTTAGGCCCTTGATAGCTTCGCAGTCAATTAACGTTAAGGGGTCAACTCTGTTAGAATTTTGATAGCTTCGGCTATATCTCTTTAGTTAAGATTAGTTTATTTGATTCTTAGTCTCTTAAGTTCAAGCCCGAGTGTCGGCTTTATTGTACAACTCCAAGACGGAGTTCTGTTAAATCTTATTTGAATAATAAAGGGTCTTTTAACCCTTTCCAAGTTTATTTATTGTCTCACGAACTTAAGCGATTATTCGCTTACTAGTTCTTAAGATTCTTCACTTTTAACTGTAACTCAGACTTACACAGTGTGGAATGCTACAAGTTATCGCAACTCTGCTTTAACATCTATTTTCTCCGTATCTTCGACATCCCATGTTGTCGATGCTGAAGTTCATATCCCTTGTTTATTGACAACGGAACAAGATACGTGACGCTATTTTAACATCGATTTCCTCTCTGTCTTCGGCATACCTTATCAAAGGATTTATTGCCGATGCTCATGCCCTTGACCATCTACAAAAGATATGAACAACAATAACAATATTCATGCAGAAGATCAAACACGTATACTTGGAAAAAAAAGTTCTATATTTGTTAAACTATTTTCTATAACTGTTCATTGTTTGATTCTATTTTTTATAAATTTGATGTTCTTCTTTGTTACATTTTATCAAATATGGGTCCTTCTTCCTTGAAGTTTGGTTGCATTATTGAACAACATTTCTATTTCTTTGTAGAAAAGGGACAGTATTTGGAAGAAATCTCTAAAATAATGAAGCAATTTCTATTCAAATACGTTTTCACTTCAAGATAGATATAAAGTCTAGCAAATCTAGCAGATACTTTCCGTTTTATTTGTTTTGTCGCTATATTGATTAAAATTCTAGGGGAAAAAATATTATGCACTGTATGTACAAACTTTCACTTTGTATAAATTTAATAAGCAGAAATCCTTGTCTACATATACAATAGATGGTGCATAGACAAGGGATTTGGTTTGGTGCGGTTCATTTTATAATGTTAGTACGAGAGAGCTATCTGCCTAAAGGAAGGGATGCCTTCATTAAGGACTTTCTATAGAAATTAGTTTGTATCCACTTTACATATGAAAAAAAACATCGATTTTACTGATGGGCTGTATAGACAGAGAGACCTTACCACATATTCTTAGGACAGTAATTCTATCATAGCATGATTTTGCGGGAATACTTTTTAATGACTGGATTTTACGGAAGGTTTATATTTTAGTGCATTTTTGCATAAACTGTAATGTAAGGTAGTATTAAAATTAAAGACAAATTAAATTATGTAAATATAAAAATATATGTCAGTTATGAAAGAAATTTGAAAGACTATTTAGAAAAAAAACCTAAAATTTGGAATTCGGAGAAAAACATTGTTATCCACGAAGTTAACTTTGAACCCAAATATCATCCAAGACTCGAAGTCACAGGCACTTAAAAAAAAATCTACGCTTTGATTTAAGCTATTTACGGGCTTGCTATTTATGAATTATTAAGTCAGTGGTTGATTTCCCTCTACATACTGCTACATACTGCCGCTTTTTATTGAAGGGGGGAGGGAAGCATTCCGCAGAAAATAGGTTTTTAGATATCATTCCTCATGCGAAGTGTTTAATTTTGTTCAGTTCAAGTTCCTTAACCAGTTAGATGATGAGATTTGTTTTTAATCATACTGCTGTGTTCAAAAAAGGGAACCAATATAAGTTTCGAAGCTAAAGCAACAAGAATCACCTTAATTTGCATAAATTTGCGGAACTAATTCTGAAGTTTTTCACAGAACATTCTTCTTTAGTAGCAGGAATGAAAATAACGAAGGAGAAGCATGTGCTCCCGCCATAACAGAAGACGAAAAAAATCGAGGAAGCTCCAAGAGAAGAAACATATTAATTTCGTTTTTAGAAAAACAACTTCGAATCACTGAGGTATTTGGTATAGGTCCCCCCTTTTTTTTTCTTTAAATCTGGTAGATTTTTTTCTTCTTTCAAATGTTATTTTAATTCTGATTCTTAATAATTTCATGAGATTGTTTAAGTCAGTGGTACACCTACGAAAATTTTACGGAACTTCAGAATTTTTGCGACGAATTTTGCCTTTCTTCGCGCGATGAAGATGCTGCCCACTTATCGAACTTCTTCACCAGGGGGCGCTTCCAGCACATGATGTCGCGCAAATTTCGACGTGACACAAGATAGCTGTCACGTTCTTTTGCGTTTTGGACACCAACATTTTTTAATTTAACTTCTGGTGAATCATCTCGTATATTAGTTACTTAGCAATGTTTTTGAAAGGTATTATAAAACATTGCGGAGCAATAAAGCATTCGTCTTCTCATTAAGGTTGGGAAGTTATAGTTCTGTCTCTCCGTTCAATTGAGCAAGCTGCAAGCTAAAAATTAAACTAAACTGCGAAATCTAACAAACTCCCTGTTATCGACATTTCTATCACGTTTTCCAATTTTTACTAATTATGGAATAAACTGGAAGGTTGTTGGCCAAAACTGAGTGTGATTACAACTTGTAAGTTGCTAAGTAACCATTCATGATCTAATTTGTTTAAAACGCCCTCTCAAAGTGCATAGAATGCGCAACGGGAAGGTGTGCTTTTATGCATTAAAAATGAAATATTGCTCAGAACAGTTACTGATAATCTATGTTAACAGAACTATACACATGGGAAAGGAAATTAAAATGCGAAACACGATGAGATGTTCTCTTACGGCAAAATTACATATTCGGTTTGCGTTGTCTAATTTACATATAAAACTGGAGGGTAATTTAAAATTTGATACGAGGTTAACGTGACTGAAATTGATCAACACGTGTTAGTTTTATCATGCTGCGAAGTACGATAAGCACTTTTTAGAGAACGATAAAAGTTTGTTTAAATACAGGGTAAATAGTAGGGTTAGGACTGTTAGTTGATGTGACATTAAAAGTTACAGTAAATTAATAGTTATCTTCTATATGAGAATTGTAGGTTTATATTTAGATGAATTGTTAAACGAATTTTTTTTTAAATAGCAGAAACTGTTCAGTACTTGTGTATTAGCCAGTACCCGTCGACATGTTGCTAACAATTCATTCGCGCCTTTTGGCGATAAAATATATTTTTTTTTTATTCTGGCGGGTATTATTTGGCTGTCGCATTCAAAATCGCATCACATTCTTCTTAGCAATAGTACGTTCACGCAGCTCTTCATGCACCCTACTAGTGCCCGAGTGGTTAAAACTGAACAGGTTAGAGGAAGTTAGAGGAGGGGGTAGGGCGGTTCGCCTGAGCAGCCCATTATATTGGGAGCAGAATTTTTGCTTGAAACTTTTTTTCATAGGAATTAATTATGTGGATCGTCGAGGCAGGTAAAAAATAATGCGATTCGGAATTGCCATACGGAATTAAATTGAGAAGAAGAATAATTTTTACACTCGATAAAGAATTCAAAAAAAAATCACTGCAAAATTTCAACAGCTCTCTATTCTTATTATACCCTTTTTCATTCAATCGAAATTTAAAATTACGAATATCAACTAAATTTTAGTTAGGGGCTCATTAATAAGAAAGAACTACTTCTTAAGAGAGAAGAATTACACAATTTTCTTTCGTTATTGCTGATGAAAAGAAACAGGAACGTTTGAATATCTGCAATTATCGGTAAAACAATCTCTAGAGCAAAGTAAATACGACCTTCAAAACGAAATTCCAATATTTGTAACACTATTGCAAATTTTCGTCACAATTTGCTGTAAGTGTTGCTATTGTCATAAGAGTTTCCTAAAAAAAACATTATAGAGATTTTTTTTAGAACTACAGATATATATTTTGCATTTAGAAAATCTTTCTGTACTGTCTACGTAACAGCAGTTGGAGCAATCAAGTAGAGCTTTACAACGTCCTTGACGGTTTTGCGGACAAAAATCAAACAAAATAACAATATGATTTTGAAATACTGGAATTAAAACGTGTCTGCAAAAATAAACGTAGAGCTTAATTTATTTTCCTATATGTTATTTTGATTTATTTGATATTAAGAATAATGATAAACTCAAGAACCGCCTAGGGCGGCAAAAGCTGTAATTATGCCACTGGCTGTTGTTTCATTTTTTTGTGTAAATTACGTAAATAAT